AATTTTTCATAAATTTAAATTAATCATTAAAAGTAAATAAATAAAATAATATGTATATTTTGCGTGTTAAATCTAGATGCCCGCAGTTAAATGACTTACTGGCCCTGTAAACAATTTAACACATTTGTACGTTATCAGCATCAGGTCAAGGCAGCTTGTTTTGCAATTTTTAGCTAATCTGAAAGTAATAAATCATTAAACATGTAAATAAGCTATTCGAAAAAGAACAAGATATTTTTTAAATAATTAACTATTTCATTGAATTAAGAGCTGTGAAATATAATTACCTAGTTAAGCATTTGATTCTCCTCGATGTGCGGCAGCAAAAACAAAAAAATTTTTTTTTCCAATGTTCACTGCGTTCAGTCCTTTGTATCTCTTTTGGGTGCAAAAGTCGGAAAACCCGTTGACTACCTATGTGCGACGGTCCGAAAAATATCGTAAAAACAGAGGCAGCAGGAAACGACGTATATGTAAGTCATCAACGGGTTTTGATAATAACGCAAAAAGTAGAGGTAGGCGCAGCATCTGATTAGTTCGAGAACGTTGGCGAATTTCGAACGATCGAAAAGCAAACCGATCGTCGTCAAGGCGCACACGTTGTTGATGACCATAGCTCCGGGCAAAAAGTTGTACGGATCCTGTGAAAATCAAGCCCACACATTTTTGAACAAGTTTAACTTACCACCAAATTTTTTTTGCCAACCACTTACTACTTTTTCATCGTAAAGCTCTGTGTGTTTGTAAAGAACGAGACAAAAGTGCAATACTATGTAGCAGCTCTGCCACGTTGGTATCGATGGATCATATTTATTCCGCGATGTCACCTAAAGTTTGAAAAAAACAAACAAGCAAAAATTGGTTAAAGAAATAGATTGATTGAAAAAATAATCGTTATTTTCTGGAATGAAAAAAAAAAAAGAAAAGATGTTCGAACATTTAAAATTCTTGATGCATCCACGAAAAAAAAACAAAAAAAAAAAAAACAACATTTCGAATAATCAGAAACACGTTTCCGATTGTAATAATCTTGATTCGACGAAACCGGTTTATTTATATTTTTCGTTTGACTATAATCAAGCTACTGACAAGATCATCAAGCGTATAGTCGAGAGATACTACACACCGATAACTGCCAACATAAACCTGACGTTTGCAATTACGATTAATAAATTGTCGTCATTATGGCTTGCTTGTCTTTTTTTTGTTTTTGTTTTTTTTTTTCTCATACACTTTGTAAACTGATGATCGCGCGCACTTCGATTCAATTTTCACGTGATAAACCAGTCAACTGATTTTTCACACCGTTATTTCCTCTCTCACGGGCATTTAAACTGAAAAAGAAAAAAAAATCTAGTATCACGCCGATAACGATCGTTCATCAAAACGAAGAAAAATGAGAGGTCGAACGACATCCTCGACACCGCAAGCCAGACCGGCACTTCCTATTCGTTATCGGATCCTCCCCGGCAAAACAAACAGACTCGCGGATGGTACACCAAAGACGTAATCATAAACTTACACACACACACGCAACGCGCGTCGCTCGGCCTCCCGATAATCGAAAAACAATTTAATACGCACTGCTCATCTTTCTTTTATCGGAAAAGACCTCTAGTCCGTGCATATTTGCAGAACCCAAGGCGAGAGCGCTTTATGGAGAAAAGATGCAAAAATAAGCCTGCGCGCGATGCACCGTTGCAATTGAATGTGTACACATAAGAGGAAAAAAAAAAAAAAAAAAAAAAGGTCCAAGGCCGGTGGCACGTATATCGCGTATCGGAGAAAAATCGATATCTAATACGGCTAAGGCAAAGTGCTCTCGCGTGTATGTATGTATGTATTGTATGATGTATTAATATTGTAAATCGTGTGGTGGACTTACGTTCACTTTGAACTCGTCGAGGCCGAGTCTCGGCAATCCGGGCCGCCAGCTCGGGCCCTTCCAGTACACGGCCAGTCGGTCTCTCAGGTTTCCCATGCTCAAGCTACGCCCGACCATCGACGCCGCATAGAAAACCTGAAATCCCACGCCCCACGGGGCTGCGTCAGGGGAAACTCGAGACCGACTCGGCTCCAAGCCGACCACGAAAAATCCAGCCCCGAATTTCAGAGATATAAGCATTCCGATCGGCATGTGCAACGCAAGCGCGAGGATTACCATCGGAAAGGTAAAACAGTCGTTTGTTTTTTGCGCGAGCTCGAAAAGGCGAGGCGTGTAATCAGCGAGTGCGTTTATCATCTCGCGAAAATTTCGGCAAAGTTTCATCATCTGTCTCGCGTTAATCCCTAGCTCTCCGCAGGCGAGGGATAAGGGCACGTGTGTGTGTATACCAACCTGGAGAAACAGAGGATTGTACGTCTGCGGGCTGACGACGAGGCCGTAGATGATCCCCTCCTTGGGCCGTTCCTCGGCAAAGGTCCCGAAGATCCGGTCCCATATTATCAGCACCCCGCCGTAGTTCGTGTCGAGGCAGTACAGGTTGCACCCTGCGGTTCAAATACAAACAAACAAACCGTCCGATTATGTTGACGACACGACGATTGAAAGCTCAAAGACAGAGAGGGAAGAATTCATTGTCGCGGTGGCCATCGGGCGCCTGGTAAATTATTCACGAGACTGTCACTCTCGATTGTATTTGCATGCACGTATATGTATATGCTGCGGCATATCGGTGTAATGCGGAAAGATGCCGGTCAATATTTGAATGTACCGGTGCACGTGAGGTGATTGTTGCGGTAGAAACGAAGAGAAAAAAAAATACGTTAGCACGGATGAATCGGCACTTTTACGTAAGGAAGATTCACTCGCTTTAGTTTTGAAATTTCCAGTGTGTCCATTTACTGTTTTGTCGTCGAGAAATCGGTAAAAAAATCGGCACTCGATCGTTGCCGAAATTACACTCGGTGACACGAGACGACCGATGAAAATGAAAAAAAAAAAAAAAAAATTACCTGAAAAATCGATAGTTTAAATGAATCCATAAGTACCATGATGAACGCGGTGGTGATTCGGGGTGTTGAAGATCCACTCGAGTGGGCCGAGGTCGTCGATGACGGTCGTGTGGATCCAGAGCTGATAAATCAAGTTGAATTGGTGGTGAGCGACGAAATGCGACGGTGGAATTAACAAGGCCAATGGCAAATAAAACATCTGCAAACACGCAAGATAAACCGAACGTCAGACGCTTCGGCGCATCGCTTATTTGATCCCCAAGACCATCAGTGCTGGCGATTTCATTTAACGACTTTGTACATATGTGTATTGGTGACTTCCAACCGAGAGAGAAAAGAGAGGTATACGAAAAAAAAAAAAAAAAAAAAGTGAAACATTCGTCAATCGATTGATAATATACACATGTTTTGTTTTTTTCGGACGACACAACAGGAGTCACTCAATCGTTTAGCAATATATCCGCTCAAGTTAAAAGTAGTCGCGTCTGTAGGTCACCTTATACGAAAAAAAAAAAAAAAAAAAAAAAAGAACATTATCAATAATACATGCAACAAAGGTAACTCGTAAGAGGAAGCGTATCTATGCCGATGTAATACAGAGTCTCGGCGTTACCGAAGACCGCACCGTTACGCTCGACCCCCCGTGCAGTCGTCAAGTTTACGGGTAATCGAAACGCGAGTAGGAATTAAAAAAAAAAAAAAAAAAGGGTTAGAAAAAAGAAAACGAATCAGAGTAAGATCGGCTTCCCTCTCGCGATATCGAATGTACACGTATATGTACACGCGTATAAGTGTATACACTGACGTGTGTCAGGTCGGCATATCGGACACGCGAGCCGATCCGAGCGCGCAGTCTAGTGACACTTACGAAGCTGCACCACTGTTGCAAGACCGACTGGCGCAGTCCGACCACAAGATTGAATTCCTCGCTGCTGTGATGGACCTGGTGATGGGCCCACAGGAAGAGCACCTCTGAGCGGAAAGACAAGCGTTACACTTATGATTTTATGTGATGGTACGGTACATTGTGTATAATAGAACAAGAGTAAGATGAGGAAAAAATCTGCCGATTGCAGATAAGGGATGAAATGGGAAAGTTATTATTTTTAACGGTTAAGATTATTGTTTTAGTAGTACAAATTGCAGTTCGAATAGTAAAAATTATGATTAGAACAGTAAAAATTACAATGCTGGAACAGTTAATTTTAAAAGGATAATTACCTAGTTAAGCATTTGATTCTCCTCGATGTGCGGCAGCAAAAACAAAAAAATTTTTTTTTCCAATGTTCACTGCGTTCAGTCCTTTGTATCTCTTTTGGGTGCAAAAGTCGGAAAACCCGTTGACTACCTATGTGCGACGGTCCGAAAAATATCGTAAAAACAGAGGCAGCAGGAAACGACGTATATGTAAGTCATCAACGGGTTTTGATAATAACGCAAAAAGTAGAGGTAGGCGCAGCATCTGATTAGTTCGAGAACGTTGGCGAATTTCGAACGATCGAAAAGCAAACCGATCGTCGTCAAGGCGCACACGTTGTTGATGACCATAGCTCCGGGCAAAAAGTTGTACGGATCCTGTGAAAATCAAGCCCACACATTTTTGAACAAGTTTAACTTACCACCAAATTTTTTTTGCCAACCACTTACTACTTTTTCATCGTAAAGCTCTGTGTGTTTGTAAAGAACGAGACAAAAGTGCAATACTATGTAGCAGCTCTGCCACGTTGGTATCGATGGATCATATTTATTCCGCGATGTCACCTAAAGTTTGAAAAAAACAAACAAGCAAAAATTGGTTAAAGAAATAGATTGATTGAAAAAATAATCGTTATTTTCTGGAATGAAAAAAAAAAAAGAAAAGATGTTCGAACATTTAAAATTCTTGATGCATTCAATNAGAAGCCTCCAGTTTCATTTACGCGAGATATATAGTTTATGAAGAGTGCGGCGGAGGAAAAAAAGAAATGGTATTAATGGAGTCTGACAATTTAATACTCGATTAAGTGTTTAAGATTTATAATGACTGCAATGGATAAATTGAAAAATTTTATATATGTATAAACGAAAGAAAAAAAACTATTGATTATTCAAATGTTCAGGGAGGGTTGCACAGAGAAGAAACGGAAAGATGGATAAATGACGCTTGGGCACACGTAGATTTTGTGAAAAATCTTTCCTAGGCAAATTTTAATGAGACATCGTTTTTTTAATGCTTTTTTATTTGTGTACGCTGATGAAACTGGACGTTTAACATGCATGAGACTCGTTTTTGTGATGCAGTTACTGTCTAAAACGCGAAAGCTGAAAATAAATACATTTCATTGCTTCTCGTTGCTGATGAAAAACAATTTAAGTCACAAATTAAGAAAATGAGCGCAAAAAAATTATGTACGCGTATAAAAAATTTTTAAATGAAATGCAGTTTGAGAAAAAAAAAATGCTTGAAATCAATTTGTCGTGAAATACAATAATCATTATTTCTATGTATCGCAGCTCTATCTCTAATGTCACTCAGGTAAAATTCAGTTAAAACCAAATTCAGATCGAACAAACACTAAGTATAGAAGAAAAAAAATAGTGTAATCCATGATGTACTTGATGAGTTGTACAATAAAAATGTTAACAAATACACACGCAGTCACAAAACACACAAACGTACTCAATTATAAGAGACAGGAAAAAAAAAAACTAATGGGTCGCTCCCAAATCGCTTGGCCGTTTATTCTTAATGTTTCATACGACACTATGCATAGCGTTTGTAATAAATCGTCATGTTTGCGGAATGCTATTTGTATGTTCTCAAGTTGTATGATAATAGTGCTGTATTAAAAGTGGCATATTTTATAAGCATTTCAAAAATCGATTTGTTCGGCTTTATTTCATTCGATACCCTCCTCTTGCACTTTTCAGCTTTGATTCTCATCGCGATACAACTATTTACAACTAACTACAACCTCGTATTTTATTTACAAAGTAGAAAGTTAATATGTATCATTACATTTTTTTTAAACGCAAATAACAGTATAAAAGTTTTTTCGTAGAAAATTTTCAATTCATAGTTTTTAAGTACGATAAATGTATAAGCATACACTTCATTTTCTTTTTAAAAATTGCTTATAAATTTAATACAAAAAATTTTTTACAACATAATTATAATGGATTGAAATACGTTTAAATTGTATATGTTAAAAAAAAAAAAAAAAAAAAATGCCAGAGCAAACTTTCC